CCCTCCCTCTGGCCATCTCCACACCGTTGTCTGTATCTATAGGTTATGCATATATGTTCTTTGGTTAATCCCTTCACTTTCTTTCATCCAGTCCCCCCTCTCCCCTTCCTCTCTGACAGCTGTCAGTCTGTTCCATGTATTCATGCCTCTGTTTCTATTTTGTTCTTCAGTTTATTTTATTAGATTCCAAATGTAAGTGAGATCATATGGTATTTGTCTTTCTCTGACTGGCTATTTCACTTAGCATAATAATCTCCAGGTCCGTCTGCGCTGTTGCAAAAGATAAGACTTCCTTCTTTTTTATGGCCACATAGTATTCCATTGTTTAAATGTACCACAGCTTTGTTATCATTCATCTACTGATGGGCATTTGAGCTGTTTCCAGATCTTGCCTATTGTAAATAATGCTCAGAACCAATTCTTTTTAAACTGTATTACTTTACCATGTAATTGATGGCAAATGGCATTACTCTCTTTATTCATCTTTATCTAAAATATCTTGAACAGAGAGCTGTTTTACTAATGGGTAAATAAGTCTCTGTCAAATCTTCCAAGCCCAAACCAAGAGAGAAGAAAGAAGTTTTAATTTGTTAGATCAATGGCCTGTGAGGCAGTAAAGAGGAATCTACAGTGGGAGACAACCACACCTTTACAAGACTTTGTTACCTCTGGGTATTGGGACAGCGTACATTTTGTTTGGGTTATACCTTCATTCTCTCAGTAGAAGGAATGCTCTCATGCAGAGCCACACATCCCATTTTTAATGTAGGTATAACAGTCATATCAGGATTCCTGTTCTGTGGGCTCTGGTGCACACTTGGTACATTTTCAAAAAGCACCAACAACTCTCTTCCTCCCTGGCTGCTTGAAGATCAGCCTCTATCATGAACAACACACTAACTATCAGGATCGGGACGTTCATGACCAACAGACTACTTCAGTGAAACAAATGGTCTTTGACATCCTTCACCCTTGGAAAGCAAAAGTACCTAAGACAGAACATTTGTGAAAAACTATCCAAATTTTTAGACCACATTAGACGCCTGTCATCTTTGTATTCCCATTCAGAACCCATTTTGGTGGTGGCAAGACCACTGGCTTTGGCATGATTTTATGATTCCTTGGATTATGCAAAAAAAAAATGAACCCAAACATAGACTTAGAAGACATGGCCTATCTGACAAGATGAAGACCTCAAGACAACACAAAAGGGAAACAAGAACAGAATGAAAAAGATCAAGAGATTGCAAAGACCAATGCTGGTGCTACAAAAAGTGAGCTGGAGATTGGACAACAGAAGGAGTAAAGATTCTTCAGTGACTTTATCTGGGGCAGTTGTATAGATTTTTTCATGAGAGGATTAATAAACTAAAACTTTAAAAAAGAAAAAAAGCACCAACAGGAATGACACTGACCATATACCAAATGCCCTACCATCTACTATTTCCTCTAGCTCCTGCTGTTATAAGCTGGGGGGATGGGCAGAATACTAGATAGAATGTCTCTCAGTTCTCTTTCTCTCAAATTCCCCTATTTAATTGCATTCAGCTAGTCAAGTATTGTTTGACCCATCCCTCAATTTGGTTCCCCAAGTTCTTGATACAGGTCTTTGTGCTAGTTTCTAGCATTCATAAGGAATTATTTTTCTTTTCTTTTTTTTTTAAATTTATGTTTTTAAAATTAATTTCAGAGAGAAGGGAGAGGAAGAGAGAGAGAGGTACATCAATGATGAGAGAGATTCACTGATTGGTTGCTTCCTGCACGCCCCCTACTAGGGGTCGAGCCTGCAGCCCAGGTATGTGCCCTTACTGGGAATTGAACCGCAATCTCCTGGTTCATGGGTTGACACTCAACCACTGAGCCACGTCAACTGGGCAGGAATTTTTTTCCTTATTTTATATTATTTTTGTCATTTCATTAGGAATCTGTAAAACTGAATTAAATCAATGCGGTTTGGAGGCCTAATGTATGAGTTAAATCACAAATCTACAGAGAACTCACCAATGAACAGATTAAATATAATAATAGTGAGTTAGGTGCATCATATAAGAAATGTGTCATCTTCTTGTGTTGAGGTAAACAAAAATTATTAGAAACCAAGGTGTAAGAAAGCAAGCTTTTAGAAGCCAGCTCTAGCTCTAAGAACGAAGTTTCCTTTTGAAATAGGCCAGAAGAAAAATTATAGTCAATGGATAAGACTTAAACATTTTTACTCGAACTGCTCAGGTTTTAGATCAGAGACTCATGGAATCTGTCTGAAAGACAGACAGAAGAAAACCATTCAGGGAAAAAAGAGTTTACACTAGCAGTATAAAATTTTTTAGAATTTCAAAAGATGACACTGGGATTGTTCCTGGATTATCAAAAGTCAGTCAAAGCCTGGAGAGTTCACAAAGCTTAGTAAATGCAAGGTATTAGGGGGATGTACATGATGGACTACATGTTGGCCTTCCTAGGTCTCAAAGGGCACAGGCCTGGGAAGCACCAGCTGCAACAGCTCCGTTCAGAAAATGGAGGGTGATTCTCCAGGTAAAACTAAAATGGGAACAAAAGGTGAAGTCTCTCCTAGGAGGCAGGAGTTAAAAGCTCAAGAAAATGCAGAGTAGGAAGAAGCCACAGCAACGAAATGACAGAAATGGCAGAGAAATTTAAAAAAAAAAAAAAGGTGTTACAAAAAGGAGAAGGGGTGGTGAGCTTTTGAATTTGAGTAGGAGATAGAAAGGGTACAAAAACCATACATCCTCACTTGAGGAAATGATTATATTGATAACTGAATGGAAACGCTGCCCACAAGAAAATGAATATATCCATTCAAAATGTTATGATTTCACATATTTAACACAAAAGTCAAATACTCTCTCTCATCTACTATCAATGCTCAGATTACATCTCCATAAGGGTTTCCATGACAACCCATTTAAACCTGAACTTTCCTCCTCAATACCACTATGCCAAGCACTCCTTATCTGCCTGGCCCGCTTCATTTTTCTCTAAGTCATCTGTCTCCTTCTAAAATACTCAATTTACAAGTCTGGTTTACTGTCTTTGTTTCTACACTAGAATTAACTCCACAATACAAGGTCTTTCTGTTTTTGCTTATTACTATTTGTCCCAGAGCTTAGTACCTAGCACACAGTGGGGACTCCATAAATATTTGCTGAGTAAAAGTTTAAGAATGGATTGCCAAGACGCAAGTGTCAAAGGAAAAACTGAACAGAAAATTTGTTTTAAATACTTGAATATGATAGGCTCTAATTAAAATGTAGGCTCCACGACAACAGGTATTTTTACCTCTTTTGCTACATGTAAGAATGGATAAAGTAAAATGTTCAATATAACATTCCCAATTTCATTGATTCTAACATGCATTTTTTCATATTTGTACAATTGTAAAATCAGAATATGTTGTATATCCAATGATATCTTAGAATCCATGTCAGTTTGGTAATGGTCATGATGTAGTTGTCATTCTGCTTGAATTGACATTCAAAGAGACAGCATGGAAACTTGCAAAAGGGTATACTGGTGACTCAGAATAAAATACCAGACTAGCAGAGCACTTTTTAAACTGTTGGGAACCAAAGGCATGGGATGGGTGTAGGACAATTAATCTAATTTAACAACACCACTGAAGCAGGAGTCAAAAGTAGGCTAAACAGAACTATAAAGCCAGCTTAAGCTTTTAAAAGTCAAGTACCAATGGCTTTTAGTTCTTTTATTATTTTAGGAAATGCTACATCAACACTTTTGATGTCCCTGAAGACAAATGGTATAGAAAAACAGACATCAATGACTGGGTGGAAAAGGAAATCTAGACTCAGATTCTGAATGTGAGGAAGTTTTAGATACACCTTAACCAATTAAGTTTGCTTGTAATTTTCCTGTTTTGTGTATGTACTAGAGTAACTGATCAGAAAAATCTATTCAGTCTAAAAGCTTGTTTTCAATAATATGAAATAAAAATGCTAGGTGAAAGAGAGCACTGCATGACTTTTCCATTACTCTACTTATCTCCTTCCTAAAGGTGGACAGCAATACTCATGGTTGACCATCAGCCTTTCTTTTTAATAACAAAGGAATAAATATAAGATACATTGTCTGAACACTTTACCCCTAGGGGGAGCTCAAAGCACATCTTCCTTTATCCCACCCCGGAGAAGCTCTAATGCCAAGGACACATTAATGAGACACAGTACTAGGTATTTCTTACTAAGTAAATGGTAAAAAGATCAAATGTTCTTGCCATCTACAGGAAAGGTCTCTTCTCTCATAGAGAATGCAAAAAACACATGCCTATCTTGGGGAGGCTTTTGAGAAAACAGATGAGAAAATCAGGGTACAGACAAGGGGAAAAGTGGCAGGGGACAGACAACCTGAGTCTAAGTAAGGGCAGCTCTTCATGGGGCTGTGAAACCAAAGCCTGCAGCAATAAAAAATGAGTTTATGTCCAGGATGTGCTTAGGAATCCACAAGGACTGTGGCAGTAGGCTCTCTTACAGCAAATGTAGAATTGGAATCCTATTAACTGCTTACAAATACAGCTAGAAGTTCATTTTAAGAAATTTTTTTTCCCCTCTAGTATAACAGAATCCTAAATATTGCCACCTTAGTAAATATAAAAACTTACAAGTGCCCTAGCCAGTTTGGCTCAGTGGTTAAGAGCATCAGCCCATGGACTGAAGGGTTGCAGGTTCGTTTCCATTCAAGGAAACGTACTTCAGTTGCAGGCTCAATCCCAGGCCCTGGTTGGGGCTCATGCGGGAGGCAACCAATCAATGTCTCTCTAACACAGATGTTTTTCTCTCTCTCTCTCTGTCTCTCCCTATCTCTTCCACTCTCTCTAAAAAATCAATGGAAAAATACCCTCGGGTGAAGATTAACAGAAAAAACAAATGAACAAAAAATAAAACTAACAAGCAATAAATAGCCAATATACTATTTTTAGACAATAAAGTCCTGTTTTATATATAGTAAAAATGTGAAGTAGTAAATTGTTTTACCTGGAATGATCCAAGAATATCCTTTAAGGGCTCTTCATAAAACTCATCTCTTCCAAAGAATAGCAGCAACTCAAAGAAACTCCTAGGAAGAATAAGTGAATGATAACTTTCATTGCTTCTTTGATTTTTTTTTTGCCCCAATTTAAGAGAATCTCAGGAGATAACAGCTATGGAATATCAGATACCTAGGTTTAAAATAGTTGGTTTTGAAACATTATAGTGATCATTTAGGATTCGTATTGTTTTCAATAAAATTTTAATGGAAGTGCCTTCAAGGAAAATACATAGAAATACACTTAAATTCTACAACTACAGAGTGAACAATTACATTACTCATGCCTACTAGTGTTCACAATGCAAAAAATCCAACAGGACACCAGGTGGCAAAAATGTCGCTACACATGTGAAGATGGTCAAAAATGGGCATATACTGCAAGTACAATGGGCCCCAGAAAAAATTCAAAATCTATTTTTTTTCAGAGGGATATAAGGGATGGATAAATAGACACAAAAATATATTAGTGAGTCACCATGAAACTCTTGGCCGACATCTGTATTATAGCAATATCACCAATTCTGTATCTAATTATTGATACATGGATCCTCAAACTCTAGGCTTTCTTTAATTATCATTATCCCAACCATGAAAGACTCATTTTTAAATAAGTTATTTGGAAAATATTGTTATTAAATAGTTTATATACATTTAATTATTCATTAGTTCATACAAAAAGAAATATGACTTATTTCTTAATCATGAGTATGGAAAACTATAAAGTTATTATATATTACCTAGCAATCTTCAATGACAAATCCCTCAAAATCTTTAAATTTTAATTCATGTAGAAGATACTCAATTAGGATACCTAAAGTTGTATTTTTAGAAACATTTTTTACCTTTAATCAAAATTAATCACTAATAGATTGAAATTTTTTAATGCAAACATAACTATGAGACTATAATTATTAAAAATTATATAAAAGACCTAAGCATTACACAAGAATTACAAAGACCCTTCTAAATGTAATATAGCAACTATATCCTATTAACTATTATTTTTATAAATTTGACTACTTAAAACTTTTAAATGTCAACAGACCAAAAGCCGTAAGAGCAGTCAAAAGCAAAATGATACACCAAGAAAGACTCTTTGCTGATTTCCTTAATTAAAAGCCAGTGTGAGTATTCTGTTCTGAGGTGGGTCTTGTTTTCTTATCCATTTGTGTCTTGTTTTCTTATCCATTCAGCTACCCTATGTCTTTTGATTGGAGCATTTAATCCATTCACAATTAAGGTTATTACTGATAGGTACTTATCTATTGCCATTTTAATTCCTGATGCCTAAGTTTCTCTATTTCTACTTATTAGAGCAGCCCCTTTAACATTTCTTGCAGTGCTGGTTTGGTGGTGATAAATTCCTTTAGCCTTTTTTTGTCTGGGAAAGCTCTTTATTTTGCCATCTATCTTGCTGGATAGAGTAGTCTTGGTGTCAGATCCTTGTTTTGCATTACCTTGAATACTTCATGCCATTCCCTTCTGGCCTGTAGAGTTTCTGATGAAAAATCAGCTGACAGCCTTATGGGAGCTCCTTTGTAGGCAACAGGTTGCTTTTCTCCTGCTGCCTCTAATATTCTGTTTTGAATTTTTGGCATTTTAATTATGTGTCTGGGCATGGGCCTCTTTGGGTTCTTCTTGCTTGGGACTCTGTGCCTCCTGAACTTGTGTGACTTTTTCCTTCACCAGGTTAGGGAAGTTTTCTGCCATCATTGCTTCAAACAGGTTTTCTAACCCTTGCTTACTTTCTACATCTTCTGGCACTCCTATGATGTGAATATTGTTACATTTCATGGTGTTCCACAGCTCCCTTAGACTGACCTCCTGTTTTTCAATTGTTCTCTTTTTGGTTCTCAGATTGAGTGATTTTTATCTAACCTGTCTTCTGATTCACTGATTCGATCCTCAGCTTCCCCAATCTTCTGTTTTTTCCTTCCAGTGTATTGTTTCTGCTATGCCATTCCTTAATATCCTTCATAGTTTCCATATCTTCTCTCATGCTGTTGAGCATCCTACAATCATTATTCTGAACTCTATATCTGATAGATTACTTATCTCCACTTCATTTATCTCTTCTTCTGGAGAATTCTCTTGTTCTTTCATTTGGAGCTTGTTGGGATTTTTTTGGTTTTTGTCCGCCATTTTGGCTGCCTGTTTGGATTTGTTTCTATGTATTAGGTAGATCTGCTAGAACTCTCATTCTTTTTGGGTGGTCTCTGGCCCAGGCCAATGTCAAATGCTGTTTGTGACTGGTCTTTAGTACCCTGTTTGAAGCTTTTCGCACTCCACAGCTTGTGGCTCCCTATGCTGGAACTGGGTGCTTTTGGAAAGGACCAAGATGCACACCGAGATCTGCTTTCCCAAGCCCTGAGTCCAGGAGCAAATCAGGCAAAGACTCAAAGCACCCAGAGTCTGATTGTTATTTAGTCTCTTAATGACCCTCAAGCTGTAGAAACTCCACAGGGTGGGGCGAGAGGTTTTCCAACAGAGTGGGACAACTGGGTTTCCCCATAGGCAAAAGTTGCTTGGATGGTAAATGTCTGCCTGCAAAAGATGTCCTCTGTAATATGAGGGAATGACTCAGCACAGGAATCCAGATGGTTCCCCTCTGAGCTCTATCCTCAGAGCCAGCACCCCTGTATACTGGATACTCCTCACACAGCCCTAGTCCACTCTGCCCTCCCGCCACCACCAGAGCCAAGGACAGTGGCTACACACGAAACTCTGTGAGTTGGCCCTTTAAGAAGGTGCCTGCATTTTCAGCCATCTCTCCCTGGCAGACAGAAACCGAGCTGCTTTTCACAGCCAGATGTTATAAGAGCACCTTTCTCAGTTCTCATGGTCTGGGCTGGGAAGCTCAGCTTGAGGTTTAGGCCCCAAAGTTCTCAGTGGGAACCGTCCTCAGCTGAGATATCCCTCTAGCACTTTACCTGCTGCCTGTGAGAGCCCGGCCAGCTCTCTTGCGCCTCCACACTTCCTACCAGTCTCTATGCAGTCTCCACTTTACGTCCTTGGTTATGAGGGTGCTCTCCAGCTAGTTTTCAGTTGATTATACAGGATGCTTTTTTTATATTTTAGTTTTAATTCCAGTTTGGTCCTGGGAAAGTGTCAGTGCAGCTTCCACTTAATCTGCTGCCATCAGAATCTTTCTTCACTACAATTTTTGCTTTAGTCTTGGCAGTTAGAAAATATGACCCATAGGCTGGCTGCCAGTTTTTGTAGAACACAGCCACATGCATTCATTTACGTAGTCCATGGCTGCTTTGGTGCTACAAGGACAGAGTTGAGTAGTTACAACAGGCATTCTATGATCCACAAGTCTAAATATCCAGTCCTTTAAAAAAATGTTTGCCAACCCCGGATTTAGACAGTTATGTTTCAGTGATTAAAAATAAGGAAAATTCCATTTTCTAAGTATGGTTCAGCTTTTACCATTTCCAGTTTTCTTCATTTCTTTGGGTAGGTTTTCTGTCTGGCATCATATTTGTGGTATATTTTTTTGTAGTTCAGGCCTTCTGGGAATGAATTATTTCAGTTTTTGCTTACCTAAAAACATGCTTATTTTCCTTCTTGAATTGAAAGTTAAAAGATTTTTTTCTTTCAGCACTTTAAAGATGTCAGTTTGTTGTATTCTGGCTTGCATAGTTCCTGAGAATGTGGCTGTATTTCTTTAGTCCTCTAAATTAGGTAGTATATTTTACTCTGGTGGCCTTCAAGATTTTCTCAGTGATTTTCAGAGTCTGAACATTAAACACCTAGGTGATATAGATGGTAGAGTGTGTGTTGCAAATTATCTTGCTTGTTGTTCTCTGGATTTCCTGAATCTGTAGTTTCAGGGTCCTTTTTAACAGTAATTTTATCTTTTCTGACGTCTCCTTTCACACAAGTCAGTGCTTCTTGTTCTCATCAACTATCTCCATTCTCTAAGCTCTACCAATACCTCCTCCATCCATTTCTAAGGCAATGGAACAGCAACTTATTAGAGTGCTAAGTCTGGGTTCACCTTCCTCTCATTGTCTATTCTCTCAATCTTCTAACAACTCTGAAAGAGGTTCTATGAATTAAATTCCCTCTACTGAAATATCTAGCATGATTTACATTTCCCTAACTAGATGATAATTGAAATACTCTATAAATCTTAAAATCAAAAAGGAAATGAAAAAGGAAACAAAAATAAATTTATTGATGATCATTTCCTACAAGGCCAACAGGAAATCATTCTGTCCCCCACCATATTCCACAATCAGAATGGAAAACTTTTTCAGAATGCCGTAGCTTAAAAAAACTATAACCAATATGCTGCAGCCAACGTAAGCCAAATAATTATTTATTTATTCATTTTTAAACAAATAGATAATATACTTTTTTTAATCCTCATCCAAGGATATGTTTACTGATTATAGAGAGAGCACCCCCACCCAAGGGGAAAAGAGAAACATCAATGTGAGAAAGAAATATTGATCTGTTGCTTCCCTTACATGCCCCGACTGCAGACCAAACCCACAACCTAGGTATGTGCCCTGACCAGGAATCGAACCCACAGCCTTTTGGTGCACAGGACGACACTCCAATCAAGTCACAAATTTATTTTTATTAATTTTTTTTTTAAAGTAAGTTTGTCTTGGTGCCTTGATTCCTTTGGGATTTTTGCTTTTCTATTGGGCTATAATTGACATGTAGCATTATTTTAGATTCAGGTGTATAACATAATGTTTGATACTGCAAAATACTGTCACAAGTCTAATTAATATACATCACCACGCAGTCAAAATTTTTTTTTTTTTTGTGATAAGAATTGTCAAGATTACTCTCTATCTCTTGTTAAGACAGGTCTCTTAAATCCCAATGACCTATTTATTTTATAAACGGAAGTTTGTACCTTTTGACCACCTTCATCCATTTGGCCCACCACTCAACCCCCACCATGGCAACCACCAACCTGTTCTCTGTATCTTTGTTTTAGATTCCATATGTGAGGTATGTTGTCTGTCTTATGTCACTCAGCATAATGCCATCAAGGTCCATGT